AGACACCCTGGCTTTTCACATTCGCGCGACGCGTGGAGGAAGGCCATTATTGGGCGTGGAAGCCAAGACGCGCAACATTGATGAGGAAGCCGGACACTGTTCGGCAGGTACGTAGAACTTGAAGGAGAACCCGCCTTGCAACGCTGAAGACTACACACACGCTGGACTTATCGTCATTGAAGCCTGGTTCGGGGGCTACTGAGGGAGTCCCGGATTAGGGGGTGTCCGGATAGCCGGACTACCATCATCGGCCGAACTATCATCTGCCAGACTATCATCATCATCGATCGGACTCCAAGACTATGAAGATACAAGATTGAAGACTTCGTCCCGTGTCCGGATGTGACTTTCCTTGGCGTGGAAGGCAAGCTTGGCAATACGGATACGTAGATCTCCTACTATTGTAACTGACTCTATGTAACCCTAGCCCTCTCTGGTGTCTATATAAACCGGATGGCTCTAGTCCGTAGGACAACAAGAACAACAACCATTACAATCATACCATAGGCTAGCTTCTAGGGTTTAGCCTCCTTGATCTCGTGGTAGATCCACTCTTGTAAACATCCACAATATCAATATCAATCAAGCAGGACGTAGGGTTTTACCTCCATCAAGAGGGCCCGAACCTGGGTAAAACATGGTGTCCCTTGTCTCCTGTTACCATCCGCCTAGACGCACAGTTCGGGACCCCCTACCCGAGATCCGCCGGTTTTGACACCGATAGCGCGCTCGCCAGGGACGTTGCCATGGTGCCGTTGGAGTTCATCTAGATGCATAGCACTCGGGGCCGGCGATGAGCTTCGTCCATCTAGAGCACCCATGGCAACGTTTGCGGCGAGCAGACGAGGGATCAGGGCGCGAGAAGCACGCCGCCACTCTCCGGGCGCCCAGAAGGTGCTTGACGGAATGCCCTACAGAAACAGTGATATAAAGAAGACCATCTGGTCATTGACAAATGGGTACCAAGTCTCATTTGCCACATCAGTTGGTCAAATTTTTGGTCTTCGCCACGTCAGCACCAACAGGTGGGCCTAATCAGTCAGTTTCGTTGTTTTCGCGAGCAAATTCGACCATCAGTGCTCCGTGTTATAGATTAGCGCATAATTGGTGGGGTTTTTTGTGCCCTAGCACAAATGTGGTACCAAGTTGTTATCCTAGCCCCAACTGTGGTGGTTTTGCGTAAATAACTCGTTTGCAGTGGTTGCTGCTTCGGCGGCAATGCTATTTTACATTGTATAGAGATTCTGTGTCAATTAATTCGGATGGGAGGGAGTACTAAGTTTATTTATTGTTGTAGGTCATACCAGATTTTTTTACGAACTTGGTCAAAGTTAAGCAAGTTTGATTTGGATAAATGTAGGACTTCAACTATTTTGGAACGAAGGGAGCGATTGAGCTGTGTAATCGATTAACGGTACATTCCATGGTAACCAAACAAGATTGAAATTTCTTCCATGCCATTTAAACTAACAGTGTTATTACATTACACTAGAAGAACACCCGTGCGTTGCAACGGGGCCACATTAACTTTAAGAGTTCAATATCAATTATGTTAATATTACATTTAATATTCTCATACATATCAAGTGACATTGACGACATTTTTACCATCAAATTCTCACACACACTCTCTCCCTCCCTCCTCCTCACTCTCTCTCCCCCTCTCCCTCTCTCTCTCTCTCTCTCTCTCTCTAACACACACACATATCCATCTTATTGGGTACGGGACCATAATCCATCTATTTTACACGCACACGCGCTAGTGCATAACAATATGGATTATAAAACAGGTTCAAGGTAGTAACAAGGATTCTTCTCATGCATTAATAAACAAATGTTCTGCACTGAAGACAAGATAACCAATTCCCAAAGTGCATCAGAGCATCACAGAACATTACTGGCAAGATAAATGCACGACGATACACCTGACTCATTTAATTAATATAATTAAATTATCAGTAAATTAGTCACCAAACTGCTCGGATGAACCGAAACAGAGCCAACATATATCATCCTAGACAAACACAACATCAACCATTTACCTTGGTACTTTAGGGACCGATAGGAGGATGCATGTAGAAGCGCTTCTTGCCTGCGAATCCATAGTCAGAGAGAGAAATTGGAACCCATTCCCATCACCAACTGATAAAGAAAGCATGTAAGAAAATTGATATCGGGCCAACTTGGATCTTCGGTGATTGTCCGCCGGTATGGAGAATTTAGGAGGGTGGGTGCAGGGAGTGGCCTTGTGGATGATGGATGGAGGCGCGGAGGGATGTGGTCACCGGAAGGTCGAAAGCGGAGAGGGTCGGGCACGTTAGGTGGAGCCGGTGGTGCGCGACAACCGGAGGCGGCCCAATCGTGGGCGGCGAACCGACGATAGCCTCGGCCCATCTCTCGACGCAGCGAAGATAGAGAGGGCGGCACTGCCGGTGCTCGAGGCCGCCGCTCGACACCATCTACATCGAGGGGAAAGAGAGGCGAGAAAGCGACAGGGTGATGCGGGGCTAGGGATTGCGGAGGAGGGTGGGGGTGTGCGATTTGAATGGATGGTTCTGCCCACCGTTTTCTTGTACGTGGCGGTGGAGACGGCGGCGTCCAGCCATGCAGGCGAGGCATGGGTCGAGCCGGGCACACGGCGAGGCGCAGTAGCAGAGGCGGGGGCGATTTTTTGCTACTGAGATGCAAGGTGTGGGATTGATCGTTCATGTTCTCTTTTCCTTTTTAACGGGAGATGGATGCGATTTTTTCACGAGGGGAGAGATGCGACCACATACAGATTCCATAATAAATTAATTAAGTCCATAACGGGATTTCTTTACAATGCTTAAGATTTACGTGTTAGTTTTCTTAATAAAGAAATGCACTGATGTAGGGATCGATTGATTCGGATAAGGAAAGATAGATTCGTGATCTTTTGTATGTTAGGAAATTAGTGGTTTGCAAGGAAAGAGTGGAGAGAAAAAGAACCAATGCGACCACATATAGATTCCATAATAAATTAATTAGGTCCATAATGGGATTTGTTTGCAATGCGTTAAGATTTACGTGTTAGTTTTCTTAATAAAGAAATGCACTGATGTAGGGCGCGATTGGTTCGGGTAAGGAAAGATATATTCGTGATCTTTTGTATGTTAGAAAATTATTGGTTTGCAAGGAAAGAGTGGAGAGAAAAAGAACCAATACGAGGGGGTGGTGGGAGGTGGGACGAATAAAAACCGGACAAAATTGGGAGGTGGGAGGGGGCGAGTAAAAACCGACGAAAAAAACCAACGAAATTGGGAGGTGGGAGAGAGGATGAAAAAAAACCAGGGGAGGTGGGAGGAGGACAAAAATAAACCGTACGAGGCTACCAACTGCTCCATTAGGAGTAGAGATTGTTTGTGAAAATAACATGCGACGACGACTTAGCGAGCGGATCCCCTTAAAAAAGACATAGTGAGCAGATTCCCTTAAAACTGGTAGAAATTGATACGATTGATGACATTGATAAATAGTGGTGAATGTTGGCATAATTTACTATCATCATGCATGGAAACGAATCATCAAGAAAAAGAATACTTCCTATTACTACACTCATAGGAAGCTTCCTAATCTCTGCTACCAAACAGTTTTTGCCCAAACAAGGAAGGAAAGTTATGGACGTGATTCGAAAGGAAACAAACATTATGAAGATTAATTAATTTAGATTTGATCTTTAGAGATTGATTGTGATTGATTCTTTTACATAAAGACATTACTAAATAATTTGCGCCAGTATGGAAAGTTCTGATCCGTTCAGTTTTTTTCGTTGTGTGAGAGGGTGAAGTGAAAATAAACCGATGAAGTGGGGGAGGCGACGAAAAAATCTACGACAGTTAACGTACGAAAAAAAACCGGAGGAAAGTGGTGGGACGAAAATTGACCGGCGAAGGCTACCAACTGCTCCATTAGGAGTAGAGATTGGTTGGTTCGATTTTTTTGCGCGGAGGGAACTACCTGGGAGGTGGGAGGGAGTACGAAAATAAATCGTCTCGGCTGAGCGGGAGGTGGGAGCAAGTACCAAAGAAGTACCAAAAAAGACCGGGTGAGGTGGGACGAAAATAAAACCCGGAACGCGACCTACCAACTGAGACATTAAGAGTAGAGATATTAGGAGTAGAGATATTACCAAAAGTGCATATCCCGTCCCACTCTTCACTTTTTGACAAAAAACTTCCGAATAGCAATCTTGGTGAGTGATCTCGACCGGGTTCGATCGGCATAGCGTGTCGTTCCTCCAGGAGTGGGTGCTGAAAAGAAGGATGGCAAACCTCCATTGTCAATCGGCCGGAGCTGCATCGTCATTTGGATCAGAGCATGGACGAAATCGAGATGGTAGAGGTTGAGGAATTTGTAGGACGTGAGAGTTTAGGGTGGGCATCACGAGAACTCACCCATATCTTGGGAGACGGCAGACCCGAGGTGCAGTCGTGTACGTGCTTCAGGGGCTGCCACGTGCTATCCTCGCTGCCATCGCCTGTCGATGCCACTTCAGCGCCACAAGCATGGGACTGAGGGACGAAGGGAAGAGAAGGGAAGGAAGCAAGCTAATGACGTACCTATGTTTGGCATGTAATACCCTCCATTAAGAGTAGATATTTTCTTAAAATCTGTTATTTTGTTTCCTAATTAATGTGATTGACCAATTTAAAGTAACATTAATTAATTTAGAGATTGATCGTGATTGATTCTTTCACATAAAGACATTACTAAAAATAACTTGCACCAGCATGAAAAGTTATGGTTCGTTAAGATTTTTTTTTGTTGTGTGAGAGGGTGACGAGAAACTAAACCGGTGGGGTGGGGGAGGGACGAAAAAAACCAGCGAAATAAAACGGGTGGGAGGTGGGAGTAAGTACCAAAGAAGTACCAAAAAAGACCGGATGAGGTGGGACGAAAATAAAACCCGGAACACGACCTACCAACTGAGACATTAGGAGTAGAGATTCTCTTTTACAAACTTAAGAACCAAATACGTCCTAAATGCCAACGGTATTACATTGGTTGCAAGGCTCCAAGACAATTAACTTAGCCGTGGAGGGAACTTTTCCTGCGATGTAAGCACGGATAGCCTCGAGTGCTTTAGGGGCTTCCACAAGAGTGGCCTTCCTTACAACTGAGCATTTGCTAAATCTTTTGTCAGAACACTTCAACCCACCATGAGTTATGTCGAGTATGAGGCACTCGAGCGATGGTGTATTCTCAAGAATATGACATGTGAGCTTAACCAGAAGCTTGGAGGAGCAGAAACTAGTGATCTTCACATGCCTCAGATTGTCGTAGCAGTGTCCCGGAGTCCGCTCCAAATGTGAGGGATCTTCAAAGATGGAGTCATGCTTCTGGCGTCTCATTGATGCCTGCAGATGGAAAAACAACACGCTTGAATTCATGGCTCTAAATGGTACAGTCACTAATAATTATCTCAGGCAGGGCCAGCAGTTGCTTACGTTTAGGCTGAAAGTCTCCAGGCAAGGAGACGCGTCAAGAAACGAAACCAACGAGAAAATATCATAGGTAGTAGGGAAGGTCCATCCAGTTATTGTCAAATATTTGAGGTGGAGGAATTTGCTTGGTAGCATTGGTGTACTGACCATCTGCATAAAAATTCTGTAAGATTAACCCTCTTACAATATAATAACTGAAGCTATATGCATATCGCTAGCCCATAGACACCAGAGTTTTAGAGTATATACCTCACCAGTCGAAACTATGTTAAGAGTTTCAAGATTTGGCGTACTTGACGGGAGCATGGCACGAGCATAATGAAGAACACAGGAATGTGATATGAAAATTGTCTTCATCTGTAGTGATTCTCCAAGAAATAGCTGTACTTGTTCACCGTCAAAGTGAAAACTGGAGATATTTGGGGCTTTGCTTTCAATCACCTGCAGCATGGAACACTGGGACACCTTCAGATAGCTGAGGCCCTGCAGCAGGGCAGGTATCTTTATGGAAATTATCTCACCGCAACTGGTGAGTTCCAATCGCTCCAAAGCAAAAGAACTGGAAAGAAGGAACCCCAACTCATCACTCTCGATGTTCACGCAACACAGATATAGACTCGTCAGGCTTCTCATGCAACCGAATCCTGCTGTGGGGCGGAAGGCGCAACCGACAAGGTCTAGCTCACAAATGGAGTTTCCACTGCCATTAGATAAAAGTGGGCATGGAAAGTTGTAGATTGCCTTTTTTGATAAATGATCACTTTTTGAATGCAGTATGAGGCTGAGTTCTTCTATGCCTGGTGTAACAGCAATCTGGAGCCAACCATCGAGACAGTAGCTGGTGTTGGCATTGTAAGGACCATAGAATCCAAGGCTGAGTGTCTTCACACCGGTGCTTGAGTGGTTTCTCAGAATGTGGTCAACTCTGCTGTTGTAATCTCCTGCTATTTTTCTCTGTGTACGTGCATTTTCCATGTAGTCCATCACTTCTCTTTTTCTGGACCATGCAGGAGGACCGTAGCCCAGTGTTTCCTTACTGAAGCTGAGGTTAGGATGGCACCTCCACGAACTTCGAAACGCGCGAGAAACACAAGCAGCACGCGCAGCATCTTTCAGTGGCAGAAAGTAGCATATATGACGCCAGATATCCTGCAAGCATAAGTAGAAAAGTTCAAGATTTGAATTGCAGAAGCAAAAGGTACTAAATACTAGATAAAACCTTTGTGTCTATGTCAGACTATAGTTTTCATTTCCAGTGAGATTTCGATGAATTTCAGTAGACACTGAAATATTTACCTATAGATAAAAATATTTCAGTTTTACACAAGAATTTAAATATTTTTAAAATATTTTCAGATATATTTTTGAATTTCAAGTGAATGTTTCAGTCCTTTGGCCAAAATGCAAACCAAAATCATTGAAATTTACTGAAATTTAGTAATTTCGGTAGGTGCCGAAATATTTCTGAAACTGAAATTTAAAAACCACTCAAACACAACATCGTAAACAGTGCAGATTCGTGTCCAGGACATGCCTAAAATTTTCCATGTAAGAAGAAGAAAACACTTTTGGCTTCAGACACGGCTGGACTCTGTAGGAGCATGTGAGAAAGTGACCGCAGATTTAAAGCACATTTGCTTCAGATATCCAAGGTTGGGATCAGTGTTTGCACATGTGACAGATCCTAGGATTGTACAATTTGTTGCTGAATTTGAGCGGTGCTTACATGCTTATTATGATAAATTTAATCTTGTTCTCAAATTGAGCATTCTCTACTCCTGGCAAAGATACAGATGGATCTCAAGTTAAAGCACACTTGCATAAGATATCCGAGGTTGTTTGGCATCTTGGAGAACTAGTTGCTGCATTTCAGCGATGTTTATATGCCTATCCTTGACTGAAGTTTAGTATACAGCTTATGCTGAGCATTGTCTACTAGCTCATCCTAGTATATTTAACATTGTTCATCTTCTTTGATGCAGAAGAACTATGGTAAATCGGTAATATCAAAGCATAGGATGGTTTTCTTATTACAGTTAGCACAAGTATATTGAACACACATTATATCAATTATTTATAATTCAGTAGCAGTGGGAATACTGGGTAGCTCAATGATAGAACACATGGTCGTGCTACCAAGCAACCCAAGTTAAATTACTTTCCTTCCGCGAGACTAAGGACAAGTTGCAAAGGTTTCAAAGGTGATCTCGACAATAGTACTGGGAGTAAATGGAACACAAGATGCTGCCCTTGACAGGAAAAATAGTACACAGTCTACACATAAAAATATAAAGGGATGAGCTACTGGAAACAAAATTTTCCTACTGTTCCGAGGTCAAAAATGGAAAAGTTTTCTGCTGGAGAACTAAAATCGCAGCTAATAAGGACTGTAGCTGATTGCAGTCTACTCATCATACATTCAGGTAGCATATAGTGATAATCTACTTTCGTTATCGTATTCTGTTATCAGCGTTTCTTGACATACCTCCGGAAGGTGTGAGCCTGAATATCTTAACTTTTTGCCAATTTGAGAAGCATCCACTTGTGAGCGCTTTTCTTCAGCAAATGAACCAATTGATGCATCTGCAACAGCCAACAGGTCATCGTTATGGTAAGTAGGCACGGCAAATGAAGGAACACGACATGATTCAGAAAAAAAAATGGCATATATGCAGATAAAATAAGGCAGTGGCTTACGGCTGCCTTGGATTTGCCGGCGACGAAGATCCATGGGCCCAGACCAAAAATCCTCTCTTTTCCGCTCTGCCTCTGCCTCTGCGTCCTCTGACTCTCAAGCCCTCTATTTATCAGGAATCTATTTGCCCCAACCTGATCGGATTTTTTTCTTTTTTGAGGCAAACCTGATCGGATTCGACTCCAACAATAACAATACGAGACTATAGTGAGCCAGACATTGTAAAAACGCTTCGCTAGGGCTTCCTGGCTGTGGCGATCAGATGGCGATCGCCTTGCTGCCGCCGCCGTCGGACCTAACTCCGGGGGCGGGTGGCTCGCTTGCCACATGCCGGCCTCGGCCACATGGTGGTCCTGCTGCGGCTCTGTCCGCCCTTGCCTCGCACGGCCTCCAAGGTCGGAGCAGGCCCGCTGTTCTATCTACCCTGTCGTGCCCTAGGAGGAGTTCTGGAGGTACACGAAGCAAAGCTTCAAAACCAGTGGGAATCCCTCACACCTACGCCAAGCAAGATGGGAACTCAGAGTATATAGATCCAGAGAGGAGGGATCCGGCAAGGCACCAGAAGCCTTGTAAGCCACCAGATCGTCTTTCCCTAATCACCAAGTCGCCGCCGTGGAAGGAACCGGTGTCCGTGTTGGCGTTGCTAGCGCAGGCTGAGGGCCATAAGCCGGGCGAGTCCGAGGGGAACCTAGAGGTCGATGGGGGCGATGATGGGGCAAGGCTCTTTCTTCGGTCATGGCAGACCTACATGCATGGAGTAACAAAACGTTTGGTAATGTTACAAGAGAGCTAGAAAAGTCTCGGTCTCGGTTAGAGGAACTAACGAATATGAATGCAGCTCGCCGGGAAATAAGAGAGGAGATGGATAAAATGAATGAACTTCTGTACAGAGAGGGAGTAAATTACATCTATAGTACTCAAACTTGACACTAGGGTTCACTTTCATCACTGTATTCGGGAAGTGTCAAAATACGGTCACTGGGATTGCGTAAATGTGTCACCTTGTGGTCACCGCTACTGTATCCAAACGTAGTTCGCTGATGTGGCATATGTTGACTGGTCCTAACCGTTGACTTGCTTACGTGGGAAGCTCATCATCTTCTCATCCCTCTCTGTACAAGATGAATGAAATGAACCTGAGAATCGCCTGCCACATATGCCTACCAACCATGGATGATGGAGCCCGCGGCGATGTACCACATGGCTGCTCGGCTCTCTTTTGTCAACAACCTCTACTTCCCACCGCCATTCTTCACGCCATGCCGTCCGCGTCAAGGTGGAAGACCTCTCTTCGTCGAGCAATACGGCGGTGCGCTGCACTCGGACGAGCTCACCCTGTTGGACATGCTCCAAGATGACTACGAGGTCGGCTCGCACCTCAGCCCCTTGCGAGCCGCCCCCTCCTGGAAAGCCCAGTTCCTCTGACGTGTACCTTATCTGCCTAGTGCGTGAGGGACAGCACTTCTCTGACCCAGGAACCTCCGCGAGCGCCCATGTCGCCGTCGTCACCGCAATATACATCCCCTCTAGCATTGCCAAACTCACATATGGTGTTCCAAATTTAGAGCGTTGCCTCCGTGCATGGCGACCTCTGTGCGTTTCACCGGCTCAATGCGAGGCACACGATGGTTAGGTTGTAGCCCCGGCGAACCCGTGGAGCTCAACACCATCGCCCCGCGGCGGCAGAAAGAATAGGTGCACATGATATTTGGCGGGGCAAACCCGTACGTGAGCAGGCCGACATCCTCACAGCTCTCCATGTCGAGTCCTCTCATGTGTACACCATTGCACCATGGGATCCTTCTTAACGAAGACCAGCCCAAACTGGCATCCGGCGTGCTGACCAGGACGCCAACCGCGAGTATGCCTACGAGGTGTGGGGGTCTGGCTGGATGAGAGATGGGAAAGTGCAGGTGAATAGCTACGCCAGGTAGGCGACAGAGGCTGAGCATATGCAGAGGAGCATGATAGAGTGTAAGACTATGTTGAAGAAATGGCAAACATGGTGCCGATCAGCCACGCACGCACCGGTGCACTTGCAAACATGGCGCCGGCGGTCGGCCAACGACGGTGATGAGCTTCAAGTTGGGCGTGGCACGGGAGTTGGAGATTTCGTGTCTGATGGACTAAGAAACGAACGAATCATCGTTAATGTGCCATAGGATGCTTTGGGAGCTCTAGAAGGAGGTGTTGGAGAGCTGCCATGGCGGTGGGAGCTCGGCATGTGGTGCACAGGTGGATGCGGATAAGGTGTTCGACAGAATTTTTAGGGAGGAGTGGTAGGAGAGAGAGAGAGAGAGAGAGAGAGAGAGAGAGAGAGAGAGAGAGAGAGAGAGGTGTATTTGCCACGTCAGGGAAATACATTGGATACGGTACTGGTGACCATAGAGTGACAAGTCCCGACAACCTTGGTGACCGTATTTTGACCTTTGTTGAATACAGTGACCAAAGTGAACCCTAGGATCAAGTTCAGATACTATAGATGTAATTTACTCACAGAGAGGAGATGCTTTGGCTCCAGAGATCAAGAATTGAGTGGTTGAAGGAAGGGGACCGGAATACAAAAATGTTCCGCCGTAAGGCAGTGTGGAGAGCAAGGAAAAATAGGATAAAAAGTCTGACCGATGAGCTGGGGGTTGTTCATACAGATCACAATATGATGATGCAGTTGGTCAATGGCTATTTCCAGAACTTGTTTACGGCTGACCCTCATCTTGATCCAGGTGATGTACTCCAGCTCATCCAACCCAAGGTCACCCCGGACATGAATGACAATCTGTGTAAGGAGTTCACGGATGAGGAGATTTCGGACGCCATGTTCCAAATAGGACCGTTAAAGGCGCCGGGCCCGGATGGGTTCCCAGCGAGATTCTTCCAGAGACACTGGTCAGTGGTAAAAGTGGATATTATTAATGCTGTCAAACTATTTTTTGCTTTTGGAGTGATGCCTGAAGGAGTGAACAGTACCACTATTGTGTTGATCCCTAAGATTGACTCCCCCTCGCAGCTCACCGACTCAGACCTATAAGCCTTTGCATCGTGATTTACAAGGTCATTGCCAAATGCTTGGTGAATAGACTCCGGCTTATTTTGGATGAGTTCGTTTCTCCTGAACATAGCGCTTTTGTGCCAGGCAGGTTAATTACTGATAATGCCTTAATTGCTTTTGAGTGTTTCCATGCAATTAAACAGGAGAAGGACCCCGAGCAGAGTTATTGTGCCTATAAACTTGATTTGTCCAAGGCCTACGACAGGGTGGATTGGGTGTTCTTGGAGCGAGTGATGCAACAGTTGGGCTTCTCTCACCGCTAGGTGAATTGGATAATGAGGTGTGTCATCTAGGTGAGATATAATGTCAAACTTAATGGAACCCTCTCGGATTCATTCGCACCGTCCCGTGGGCTACGGCAGGGAGACTCTTTCACCGTTTCTATTCCTTCTTGTTGCTGATGGATTGGATGCCATTTTGAAGCAGGACATTGCTGGACAACGAATATCCCCCATTCGGGTTTGTGCGCGAGCACCCGTATCTCTCACCTCTTGTTCGCGGATGATACATTGCTGTTTTTCCGTGCTAATGAGGCTGAAGCACATCATGTGAAATTGGCACTTGGGAGGTATGCGAGAGCTACAGGACAGTTTATAAATCCTAACAAATGTTCAATCTTGTTTGGTCCGAGCTGCTCTGAGGCACACAAACAGCAGGTTATGCAAACCTTGGAGGTTGTTAATGCTAGCTTTGAGGAGAGGTATCTTGGGTTCCCGACACCAAGTGGTCGGTTCTCTAAAGGAAAACTGAAAAATGTCCAACAGAAGCTTACGAAGAGAATTATCCAGTGGGGTGAGCTTATGTCCCAGGCTGGCAGGGAGACTCTCATTAAGGCCATTGCACAGGCCCTTCCAACCTTCCTCATGAGCATCTTCAAGTTCCCAAGAAGCACATGTGACGATCTCGCCCGCATGATTCATAGCTTCTGGTGGGGTGCATATAGAGGGAAGAGGAAGACACATTGGAAGGCGTGGGACCATCTGCTCAAGCCCAAGGCATGTGGCGGCATGGGCTTCAAAGATTTCAGATTGTTCAACCAAGCAATGCTGGCAAGGCAAGCGTGGAGAATTTTGGTGAACCCCAAGACCTTGTGTGCACGAGTTTTGAAAGCGCGCTACTTCCCTAATGGACGGCTGGACGACACAGTCTTTTCCACTAATGCCTCACAAACCTGGTTGTCCATTGTCCATGGGTTGGAACTTCTTAAGAAGGGTCTAATTTGGCATATTGGTGATGGTGTCCGTATTTGGAGGGATTCCTGGATCCCACATCCTGTTGGGCGCCCACCTATTTCACAGCAAGGAAGGTGCCGTCTACGCAGAGTTAGTGACCTCCTGGATGAACATTGGGCGTGGCGAGGTGATTTGCTACGCCAATATTTCTTGCCGGTGGACGTACACCAGATCCTGAAGATCAAGGCGTCACCAAGGCTGGGTGCAGATTTTCTCGCATGGGGTGCTGAACGTACATGTATCTTCACCGTACGTAGCGCGTATCGGCTGGCGCTCGAGGACAAACTCCATCCTTCTTCAATCGCGGCGAGCAGGGTACCGGACGGACGACGTGCCGTCTGGGCATTATTATGGAGGTGCCCTGCTCCTCCAAAGGTGCGTGTTTTTGGCTGGCGACTGGCCACGAATGCCCTTGCCACATGGGGTAACAAGTACGATCGACATATGGAGTTAACTGATATCTGCCCCTTATGTGGTCTCGAGCACGAGGACACTTTCCACGTGTTCTTCAGGTGTCCGAGGGCTATGCATCTATGGCGGGCTATGGCGGAGGTGTGGCGTATCCCAGACAGAGTCGGGCCGCTACACCGGCACAGAATGGTTCCTGAACCTCATTGCGGACTGCAATGAAGGGGACTGGCTTAGACTGTTGATGCTATTATGGAGGTGCTGGTTTGCGCGTAATGAGATCGCACACGAGAAACCGACGCCGCCCGTGGAGGTATCTCGAAGATTTCTACAAAGCTATGTGAGTT